TTGGCGGGGAGGTGGGGTGGGACGGTAATATAGTGACATTTGCCGCATGCCGCAAGGGAGAATGCCGCAATCGGGGAGAAGTTCCGTCACCCCGCAATAGGACATCCAAATACGACATCACCTCAAAATTTTCTCTCTGGAAAATCTTACTATTATATATGAAGTGCTCGCGTCTACCTGTCTGTTTGTTTATTTGTAAGGAAATTCGATATTACATGAAGAAGCATCTATAGGAATCGGGTCAAGTTTGGGATGGGTTGGGCATTGGGCTGGAATGACAGATCCGTTGATTTAATACCAGATCATCACTCGCCCAAGGCAGCCAAGCTTTACCTCCTTTACCTCATTTCGGGGTCGTATTCAGAACCAGCTCGTCTGGGTGGTGGAAAGAGGATTACATGACACCACTACATTCTTTTTGTCGCTGATGTACGTTTCTTGCCCCTTTCCAATCACAGGGCAATCGAAGCCTAAGCAAATAGAGGAGGATGGGGGAATTTCTACGTTAGCATCAGACATTGTCAGACGTTGTCCTGGCTAGTTTTCAACACTGCATTCCTGAAATTTTTCCCCTTCATTGAATTATCGGCCTATCGTTAATGTAAACCGTAACCATAAGGTCAGGCCGCTAATTCAATCACGAGTTCCCCTAAAAACCATGAACGGAAGGAGAAGTCTTACTCTTCTGACTGCTTCCCATTTAACCTCTGATGCGCAATTCTCCATAGTTGAATTTAAGCTAAAATTTATTGTAAATATTTATGATACCTACTTACCTAAAAAAAAACTAACACCTCTTCTTCACTCTAAATGCGTGATTACCAAGAACGTGCACTCAGCGTTATTTTGGGTGAGGCATGATCGTGTACGCACAGCATGAAAAATGTTCCTACATCCTTCTTGAATAAGATCGTAAATGAGCCGTCGTGGACGTGCGATCCACGCCTCAGCGTGAGCACCCTGACTGGTTTAAAGGACGAAGGATGAAGTATTTGGGCGTTGATCAATCCCGTCTGAAGGATGCGTCCCCGCAATCTACTTCAATACAGAATCGTGGTGGGTATTGAATGCGTGTGTGGCCTATACCATGAGTTGCGGTGGCCAGCCGATGTACAAGTCAGTGCTTTTATCCTCCCAGACGGATCTGGTATAATTAATCGAAACAGGAGGGATGGATGGCTTGGTTGGCCTAAACGGTTATCGATACGGACTCAAATCTGTGACCATGCGTGTGCGATAGTGCGCTACTTGCCACAACACCACCTCCGCCCGCTGCCGACTAGTTTAGTAATAATTGATAGAGGGAAACTCGAGTTTCTCAAAGGTAAACCACACCAACGCAATGGCACGGAGCAGATTGCACTTTCGTAAATCAGACCTACATACCCACCATATATCATGAATCTCTCAAACTGTTAAGAACTATTAGCAGACAGCGAACGACGTTGGGTTACTCTGTACTCTTGGAAAGTTCATTTTGTTGTAGGCACCCTAGGGTGAATTTCCTTCATTCTAAACAAAAACGTGGGCCAGAGGAACGACTAATCTACAAAACAAACTCAAAAAGTAAACAAAAAGTTCACAAAAAATAAGGACACCAAGGGATCTCACATTAAGGATGTAATTGTGCGGATATATTATAGGAAAACTCCTGCACGGGGCAAACAGAGATCTGAGGTCACCAAATGCTTCCCTTATGGAATGCTTTAATACCAAAAACCCAATCCAGTTGAAGTTGAAGCTGTTGAAAGTTCCTCCTGACTGTCACGATGTGAAAGGGGTTCTGAGGTAATTGTAGAGATTCTTTGCTCGAATTGGTCCCAGTCCAGGACATAGCGCCAACTGCTCTTCACTCGCTTCACTAATAGCTTTCAGTGTACCGAAATTGAATAGTAACCTGTAAACACGTATTTTGACCATGACAATCAACAGGCCCTCGGCAGTATACAGTCGAGTTCCTCTGAATTTCTACTGAATTACCTTTGCGCATCTGCCTTAGTAACACTACGAGCACCAGTCAGAATGCCAACAGCTGCGTTTTGAAGAGCAGTCTTTTCATCAACAGGAACGAAAACTGGCTTCCTGAAGATATACAGGAAAATCTCAGGTGAAACGAGGTACTTTCGCATTTAAAAACTAACTCAGGTTTGGGGAAGCTGTTTTGACAGCAGTCCGTTTGACAGTATCAAAAAGAGGAGATAGAAAAACTAACTTGAACGTAGGATCCCTGTTATCAGCAAGTTTTAGATTTTCGATGTATTCAGCCGCTTCTTCCACCTAAATAAAAGTTCATAATCTAGCAACTTATAGAACTGAGGAAAACTCTTGCNAAGGTGGTGTGAAGGGAAAGACGAAAATTTGAAAATGAAAAGTCTATTCATGAAATAGTGGATGGTTTCCTCAAACAAAAATCCTCTCTTAAGAGGAAAAATCCGCTAAAGGGAAGCTACTCTCTCTGCTCTTCCTAGTTACCACAGAAATGATCATCGATCGACATCGATTTTTGTTCCAAGCTGCTTACTCAAAGGATATTCAAATTCGCAGCTAAGGTTTTTCACGGCTACGATACGTTTTCCGCAGGCACGCAGGTTTATACTTCACAATCAACTATAAATACAAGAGGTGTGACGGAACATCTGCAAACACATCCGAATGTTATAACTGCATGATTTCGCTGCACCACCTATTCTAATTGTTTAGGAGGCTTTCAGATTCGCACTATTTCTGAATGCTTCCATCTACAATGAATGAGGTGGTTTGTGAAGCAAAAAAATAGCCTTCTACATTGACTGAACTCCAAATAACTCTAAGATACTAGCGGAAGTTAAATAGTGGATCATCATTAACTACACAACTTTTCAAATATATTATTAGATAACTGCTTCACATGAGATAGTTTTTTAGTTCACTTCAGGTAAGTTTGAATTTGCAGGCGTGAAATCTTGTATTATAAGAAGAAAAATCTGAACCTGTGATCACGGGCGACCTTCTCCAGCAACACACATTCCGATTTTTTCACTTCTACAAGAACATCTACATTTTCAGCTGGAGCCCTGTGGACAAAAGAGCGTGCCATGCGGCCTTCTCATGAGGAAACTGGGAATAAGGCTGATATGAGGACAACCTCGAGTTTTTCAGGTTAATTTCAATCACTGTCATAAAGCCATGACAGATGGAAAATTTAAAATCTGTAGTTGCTGGCGATTCAACGAAGCTAGTAGATCGGCTGATTCCCTGTCAACATAACAGAAAGACATCGAACAAGTTCAAGAAAAGTAATCCATTAGAATCATTCACCGAATAGCACAATACTATCGTCCAATCCATACGATAGCACAGAAGGTTCAGCTCTCGCAAAGTGTGCCGTGGTTCATCGACATTACAAAGCGTTAGAAGGATCTGGAACTCCTAATTCATATCGTTAAGGTAACGATCAGACCCATAGGTTACTTCATGAGGTTCAAAGCGGTGATGCTTGAGCCCATGGGTTACTTCATAGGGAAATGGCAGTGGGCACAATTAATGGTGGTCTCGTATAGGGAGGATCTGCACAGTGGAACGGTAGCATGCCTGACCGGCGACAACAGATATGGCATCGTCGTGGCTGAAGGTACTTGGTACAAGAGATTTAGTAGGAGCTGTTGTATGAATATGCCAATCTTCTAGATATTTTAACCTCCAAATCAACCTAGGGGATACAAATGAGTAGGAAACCTCAAGCAACCTGGATCACCTGGCCCTGTTGATCGTGCCCACTGCCTTCACCTTAGATTGGCGATATTCAAACAAACCAAAAAAAAACTGGCAAAAGCTTACCCTACATGCGTACTTGTTCTCATCCTTTCCCGATAGTCTTGTAAGAATGTAGTTTGGATGCAGTTTGTGATACTGTAATCATAATAATTCTTTGATCACTGACTAATCACTTGGCAAATGACAGTAGGTAGTAAAATTATTTCAACTTAACCCAGTTACCTTATTATTGTAAAAATATATGGGGATTTGGACTGAACACCGGTGAGATTTAACAATGCTGACCGGATTACTACCAGTACTGAGTTTTGGGGTGCGATACTGATTTACTCTCAATCCCTTGCGTATCATCCATGCCAGCCTAATCCTCCTAAAGTGCTTCTTCGACTGATTATGAGAGCCGTCACTGTCGTTACCTCAGTAGAACGCACGTTAAAGCCAAAATCAACGGCGACGTCAACAGTTTAATCGCTTAGTACGATATATCGCATTACGTTCTGCTTCCTTAGATGAGTCACATCGCTCAGAAAGATTGGTGCTCAATGCAGCTTCGATGTGTCTTCACTAAGATCCAAAAGACAAAAATATCAAAAATATATCGTAAATTATGAACCTACTTTCAACGCCAAGTAAAGAACGCCACAGGTCGAGCCACATTCGAAATCTGCCCCTATGTCACCCCATTCATAGCGGACATTTCGTACATACTTCAGTACGGGATTCCCTTCTTGTCGTCGACGATTTACGATCAGACGCGATGCAGCTCCTCCACCAGAACTACCTAAAAANAAAAATTGAGCGATTCTGCTGGCTCGTTAACAAGCCTTTCAAGGTTGCACAGCTTAATCGAGCCTGCGTTCCAGTTCTACTCGCCAATGCTCGAAGATATCAGAAAGGAAAACGAAAGTTGCATACTCTAAATATTCGAGTACCTTTCGAAGACACGCCCTTTCTTCCACTTTTTCGAAAAGCCAATTTTGATGAAAGCTATGACCATTTGACATGTGTAAAATTTTTAATTTCTGCCGTTCTTAATGGGTTAGTTCGCTTTAGTTATGATAGCTTTCAAGCCCGAGTCTTCTGTTGAAGTTTCAAGCTGGAATAGAAGGGCATATCGAGCTGAAATTTAGGGGCAAAGGACCGTTCTGAAAGCATCGTTCTATTTTAGGGATAAGGAGTGGTACTGAACGGTGGTACGCATTGCTTACTCTCATGATAACTTTTTTAGTTTATTATCGGGAACGCTGATTGCGTCCACATGAACCGACCTACCCCAATTTAGCTTCTCGAAACGTGCGAGAAGTCGAGAAGAGGGTATAACAATTTTGGCTACTAGTAAATCACCGTCCCTTCTCGTGCTATGTATTTGATTCCAAACACTTCTTCCAGCTCTCAGTGGAAGTTGGACAGGTCTTCGGCTCCTGCCAGTAAGAGTGAGACATCCACTGAGACTGCCAAAGCACTGATTACACCTGGTTAATAGAAAGTAATGCTCTGAGTCGATAAAAGTTTCCTTCAATAGAAGATCAGCTTCAGCCCTTAGCCATTGAATGTATAAATGAGGATCCCGCTCACTTATTTCAATTCTCAGCTGTTCGCCATCATACTCAACCACGATCTGACAATAGCTGATGCCTTTCTCACAAAAAAACGCTCCGAATCTCATAAGATATACGCATATTATTTCTACACTCGTGTAGGGCCATACTGACCTAAATGAAATTATTTGGCTACATTCCACAAAGGTTTCTAACTAATTCGTAAAGGGAGACACAGTAATATCGAGAGGCGAGATGCCGCCCTTAAACATATCTGCTTTTCCCACTAAGTTTATTTTCACGATAGAAAAGGAGGTCTCCCACTTCCAAAGGGAAATTTTCCAATAAGATGTCTATTTGCTGTTCCATCAGTGTAATTCTGGTTTAGCTATGAGTTTTTCAATTCCAATTTCAGGGAAAGGCAATCGTCAATAGCCCCGCTCAAGTACTGCCGCAGATGCAATTTCGTCGATCTCACTCAAAATGGTTATCATCTCCGAATGTGGAAATGAAGCAAGCGGAAGCAAGACGAAGTGCCAGTCGAGAAACGCAATGCAAAGTCCCATGACTTTTTGATCTTGGCAGTAGAAGGTTTCGAATAGAACTCCCGAATAAGCTTTCATTTTGCACCTAGCAACTAGACTACCTACAACAGTACTCAAACTCCCAGTGCAGTCCTGTACAATTTAGACCATTAGGATCTAACCTGTCACAGCATTCCCTCTTTCCTCTCCCTCCTTTACCCCCTTCACGTTTCCCCTTCTTTCCCAGCCCATCGATGTCGACTTTCTTGCTTTCGTTTTGTTGAATCGAAATTCTTATAATAATAAGATGCCTGCTCTGACAACGTACCACCCCGCTTTAACCTAAAGAAACTTCAGGAGCGCCATCAGCATCAATGATAGGTTCTTATAAGTGATTGGTGATTGTTGTTGATTATAAGTAACTGTAAGTAGTACAGCCGCTTCAATAAATCAAATATAAAGGCGAGCGCTCCTGTTTTTGACTTCACTGCTTAAAATTCCCTAGCGGTCTTATAAATCTTTACAGGACTCGTTTCAGATAGCTTTACTTTCTTGCTACCGGTCTCAAAGCAGGTGCCCGGCAGGTACTGCAGTAGATGTCATCTGCTATTTAACGGAAATGTTCGAGGTGATTTCGACCCCTTCATCGAAAATGAGATTTTGTCGGAAGTGAAGGCGGAAGAAAGAAAGTAGACCGCCCCCAGGCACATTCCGATTACCCGCTATGCTCATCCTCTTACGGGCAGACTGCAGACTAAAGTTGAAGGATGAAGGATAAAGTTTTTGATGATGATTAATCCTTTCAATGGATACGCTCACACAATCGGCTTTCGCTCAGAATTTGAGTGGCGTTAAAAAGCGCTTTCCTTCTATACAACGAATTGAACGCCAGTGAGCCAATTTCCCATCTAGCAAGCCTTTCAGTAATCAGCCACTGTAGGAGTAGGAGAAATAGGAAGCTTCATTGCGGTTGGGTATTGATCTAGAAACTAATCCTTGGGCCATGCATTCCCAAGAACTATTCAACAGCGCTTCAGGCTGGAATTATTCACTTGTTGGAACTGCCAAACTTTCAGCGTCGAAACTGCACTGTGAAGAAAGAACTCTCACATGTGGACACCAATCCCGTCGAATTGATCCCCACATAGGAAAATTCGCTTCAGTGCGAACTGCACTCTGGGCAATGAAATACAACCTAAACAAAAACTGTAAATATCCAGTCGTTGGCGATGTTATGTTCTGTAAAATTCTAGGGTTTGCACCAGAAAAGCTTTCGAATGGGTGAGCACTTTCCCTACCCCGTCAGAGCCTCGTGACGTTAAATGAGGTAGGCACCGTCGAAGTCAACACATCTAGCGCTAAACATGCACGTATTTGATTGACCACGCGGTCGAAAATAGCCGAACGACGATGTGGTTCGCTCGGGAAAACTTCTAGTTAAAGGCACAGTTCACGATAATTTTGAGGTACTCGTTTTTATTCGTAAAGCGGAAGTACAGATTGGGAATGGCTCATCGGTAGTGAAGGAAGCAAGAGAATTTGCCCATTTCAAGAAAAATAGGGCTCCTCAAGAGTAGAAAATATAGAGGTTGGACGAGATTGCCATAACGGAAATAACATGGAAGGGGTATTCGGACGAGATTCCAGTTATTGCAATTGCGCAAAGAGCTAAATACATCACGCCAGAACTGTACAAAACTGTCTTTCACTGTGGCTGCGGGTCATGACAAGTTGTTTGAACTTCCTACATGGTTTCCCATGTGATCGGTGGAGACTCTACAATGCCAGTGGAACTCGTCCGAGGATACACACGGGCCAATCTTTGAGCCTTTATAACTCCCTAGCTAGGCTGTTTCCGACTTAATAGTGCCAGATATAGAATACGCTGGGGCATCAAATTCATCTTGTGGGGTAATCTCAGAAACCATCTTTATCGTGAACTGTTCCTTTGGATGCCATTCAAATTCTGTTCGACGTGAATGATTAAGAAAAAAGTAACTGTAAGAAAAAATGTCACCCGTTACCTACATCCTTGATGATTCAAACTGTTTGGTGACAAAAGATGTGATTGAATTAGCTTCAGGCACCTCGGAGCCAATACCCAAGATAAAAGGGATTAGAAGAAAGATGAAGAGCGTAGAATAAACAGGTGACTGATTGCGTTCTGTAATTTGCCTACACCTAATGAAGTTTGGAAAAAGGATCCTATTCTGACGTTACCTACAGAACTAGCCCAAGGTAATGGTAACGGTGTAATGGTTCAAAAAAGGAGGTGAAAATGCTTGTCATGAGAAAACCAAACCAGCCATCGAAACTCAACAAAAAAGAGCCTTCATACGGCCAAATGCTGACTCAGTCGCCTCAATACTTTCATTCAGAACGAAGAGCACTGCAATTTATAGTCTCAGTTGGTGGCTTCTGACATACTCGCCGACTCTGGATGCGACAAATCGCTAACTAGCCTCCTTCCCACTACACATCTACTTTTTCAATACGCAGGTTAGATTATCTGTGCTGCTCTTTCTGTGTGGAAATGTATCACTTTAATAAAAAACCATTCATCACCTACCTGAACTGCCAGTTCGCTACCTGTCCGTCTGCCTACTTGCCTACTAACTTGCCCATTGCGAGATAGTGGCAGCGATAAGAAAGCTGGTTGTAACAGCTCACTACTATCAAATGTAGGAAACAACTTCAAACTTGGAGTAAGGCCTCCCCTGGATTTCATGAGGAAATCACCTTTTCCCGCGTTTATAAAGAACATTCATGAAGGGCCCTGTCCGCACCATACAAGGTGATGGCATGACACAATGACTTAGGCTTAGCAATAAGGAGTCTTATAGGGTGAGCAGGGTTGAGCAGGAAAAAGCCAGGCCGCTGTCGAGGAAATAGAAATAGGTCTATTACCGAACAGCTTCAAATAAAGCTTCACAGCTTTTACTGCAATTTCATTCGATCACGTCTGGGAACACCAACGCTTCTCCAACAAGCAGTTAAGTAGTTGGCTGCAGAAAAATTGATGCTTCCAGAGCATGACTGACAAGTTCTGAGATAATGGAGCGTCAATAGTGGCCCCGAGGTCGAAAATGATTCCCAGCAAATTAGCCTAACCGACTGGCATATTCAATCAATCACATGAACCACGACAACTCTCTTGGCATATTTTCCGTCTGGCTTTCCTTGCGTTTTCATTTCCAACTCTGGAATAAGTTGCCCTGCAGCTCAGGTCTGGAAATGATGTGGCAGCATCTCTTTTTTCCTACTGACCTAACTCACAGCTTCGCTCCTTCCAAAACATTTCAACTCTATTTCCATTCTATAATGAGACGGATCGCTCGGTGGCCAAGTAAAAAAGACCCAGAATACCTTACGTGTTCTGGAAGAGCTCGGCTGGCCAGCATTTTTATCCAATTTACCACATACTTTCACTTTCTCGCGGCCTACATACCTTCAGTATCCACAGGTTCTTCTGGGCCGTCTAATCCTAACATTCAGTAGTGAAAAGTAGTACATGATCTATCTCTAGAGCTTCATAGAGGGTACTTAGAAAAAGCAGATCGGGCTCCAAAGAGGCCTAGGAAGAGGGTTCGGGTCTCTTTCTATCGGAGATCCTAATGACTGGACCGCAGACCTCAGTGTCCAACAAGAATAAGAAAAAGTAAAATACCCCAAGAAATAGTCATAGCCTTCTTCCTAAGAAGGACATGTGACAGTGTCCTCACTGAATAAGAAATGAGAATACGCTAGTACATTTCTCATCAGATGGCTTTGAATTCCATTTTTCCGTCATGCTTCGTTTGCGTTGTTTACCATTTAAGCAGGCTTCGGGCATCCCCCTCCCTTATACAGCGCCATTCACTGATGTGTCCTGTTCATTCGCCCGGTTTCCGTCAGAAGAAAAGCCTATAACGCCGACGACTATGCTAACTCCAACAATTGAATTCTTTGTCAGTAGCGATCCTGTCATTCTTGAGGCACCATTAAACGACTTTTTCTTCCGTTCATGACGAACTGCCCATTTCGTTTCCATTGCTATGTGACTCAAATAATGCTTTCTACTTTCCTCAGCTCCTCCTTGTTATCAAAAAAGAAAAAGAAGTTTAAGTGTAAAAGTTTAAATACAACTCATTGTCCATGATCCGCCAGATATTCACGTCCACACCCAGCGACACCTCTCGTTGCTTCACCCCAAATTGACTATTTCTGGGAAGCATCAGGTAGTAGAAATGGTTCCAGAGGATAAAACTTATTCCATTCACTCACTCTTCAACACGCTAACCTTTCTGATCCAAATTATCACGAATTACTACTACGTAATCCATAATCTGTAAAGCCATTAGAAGGTAGAGCGATTCTCAGTAGGGTCCAACCCCTACCCAAGGTTCAGCATAATTGTGACGAAACTAGGGCCCAGGCCAAAGCAGGGTATCTCACTACTAGTTTTAGTGTCAGGGCTTGTTTCATCCGTGACGAACATTTCGAATCGGCATCATTCAGTCGCGGAAATCATTGTAAGGACTAATTAAGCAGGTAATTAAACTACCTTACTATTTCGAAAAGAAGCTTGATACGTGGGTAGTCATAGAAATGGGATTGATCAACATAGCAAGGTTCGTCGGTTGGTTCGTAAAATAAATAAAGGAGGGTGAAGATTATGCAGACGAGCAAGTTGGAAATATGAGCTCGAATACATTTTCATAAGATGAAAAAGACGGCAACCAACGTCATCCTATAAGTGCTTTTCGCATTTGCAAAGGGCGAAATGACTCGATGGTAGCTTCTTATGTCATTGCCATTACATAGAAGCCGATGTGTTCGGAAAAAAACGAAACATTTCATAGTTGAGGCTCGAAGCTTCTACTCCGCTCCGAGCACCATGAAACCTCACCTGAGGGTGTCCCTCTTCGATGCATTCTACCCTATTCAACAACTTCTCTACGTGTAAGTAACTCTCAATGGGTTTCTTCTTTTGAGCCGCTCAATTGACTGGACAATCAAAAGTTCCCTCAGCTCTGCAGCACTGCAAATTCACTCCATTCAATTGCATAGAAAACTAGCTGACTACATCAAGTAAGCTCACTCACTTATCTCATGATTCCTGAACCTTTAGGATGAAAGAATCTGAATCTTTCATTTTTCTTCCTTTCGGATGAGATAGGGTTTTCAATTTTCAGCTAACCCACTTCCTATTGTCTGACCATTGAAGCAAAACAAATAAATGAAGCCTGAAAACAGGAAAAATTGACTGAGTATGGATGTTTCGTGTTCATTATCACCATTTCATTTGTCATTTCTCCGAACCATATCTACCCAAATTGGGTACTTTTTTTCTTAATTCTTCTTTGGTTGCAAGGGAGTGCTGCCCTAGCTAGAGGTAAGCACCGTCAAGCTCCGAGATCAAGACTTTCAACTCAAGGTCCCTTTCCTTCTTTCACAACAACCTATCTAACTGGCTGTGAATCTCATTCAAACCCTAATCAGATGGAAAAAGGTTATAAGCACTGACCCAACCCCCTCAATGGATGGTACTGGCTGTTTCTCTCAGTAAATGAACAAGGTAGGCAGACTAGCACAATTGCTCACGAAAGTCAAAGGCATGACGCATACCGAGGACTGCATGATAGCAGCGCTAGAGGGTGATCCTGTATACTTTCTTGGTGTCTCATATCACTTATTTAACCTCGGCTAACCGATACTCCAGTAGAGAGTGAGCAGATAGAAAAACGATGAAATTTGTTACAAAGGAAAGAGCCCATTCCTTCCGATCCCCAAAGTTGTTGGTGAGGTTTTTCTATGACGTACCTCAACTTCTTGACTTCTAGAAAGAGCCTCCATCAGAATCTTTCCTTCCTCAACATGTTTTGAGTTCCCCGAAGGGCTATATAAGTTAACGATGCATACCCTTCTCCCGAAATCTAATCAGTCGCTAGTTGGGACAAGTGATTTATACCTCCTAGACGGTGATTGGCTGTATCTACAACTTTGTTCCTCCGTGTTCTGTGACACCCTTTGCTCTTACTTCATTCCCCATACCAGATTGGGTTCGATATCAGCTGTAGCTGCATAGTTCCCATCTACTGACGCATTTGGAGGGCTGTCCAGTGTGACTTTAGTCAAAATACCCAGTATCCACTACGCAAATGCCATCTAATGAGAGTGTCAGCACGCCACTCAACCGTGCCCTGTCATATCAAGCCAGGCTCAGATCCTGGGCGTATACAGCATCTTTTAGTAATTGAAATGCTCGTTTTGATCGAAGCCTTGATTATTTAGTCAGCTGACTTCCTCTCACGCTTCCACTTCCTTCCCCGCAGCCCTACGCTCCAAAAGTAGCTTTACCACACCATATGAACCGCTTCTCATAGTAAATACTACATAAATTAATATATCATGCGAATTTTTATTTTCAGATCAGTTCCAACTAGGAAATTGTCTGGATCTAATAACATATAGATTTGCTTCTCCAGTTAGGCTCTGAAGAAGAAGTTAACGCGGATTCCAAAAAAGGATATTTGCATGAATTAGAGTATCAGTAAGGGCTAAGGGCGAAAACCCCAACTTGAACGTTGCAATAGCATGGAACGCCTCACTGTCTCATACGTCATATGACGTGCCGGGCCATGTGGCCGTCGAAACCCAGGAAATTAGTTAGGCTTCTCTGCAAGTTCTTTAGATCCCTTAACATCTTCACCATTCCAATACCATCTTCACCAATCACTGAAATCAATGAGCAGGGTTTTCCCCTACATAGGGTTTTCCTATCCTATGCCTAATCCTAATCCTCAATATCCCTATATGCAGTTGATGGCTGTTAGCATGGGACAGTCCTGTGACATCATGCTTGATCACCGTGGTGCTTTATTCAATTTCCCTAGTGTGTCCCTTCCCCTAACCTGAGAGCCTAATACGCTTGAGCGGAGCAAAAATCGCCTTCCTTTCTTCCTGACTTTCCTTCAATGTATTGTTGTGTTATTTGATTTTCTGTTCCCATGTGACGTACTGATCTGCTTTTACTGCTTTTGAGGTAATGAAAATGCCTCCATGTACCTGGGTGGGCTCTAAAAATGCTTGCGGACAATTCGTCAAGTCTACGAAAAGCAATCATTGGAAAAATTTGTTGGGCGCAAGTCAATTCCCCTCGCATGCACTCCTCCATCGCATAAATGCGCAGGCATTTCTTACCCCATGGGCAAGCAACTACTATATAATCCTCACGTCGGAAAACATATTCTCATGCTCGTATGCACGGCTACACTGACGAGCAGAAATCAGTGAGCCGAAGTAGAAGCTTTGGATTTTATTCCTCACAATCAATGGGACTCGTTATGATGAATACGTTTCCCTTCTCACCCACCACTTAGACCCTATGGGAAGATGGCCATGAAGAGACAACCTTTCCAACTTCACATTCACAGCCAGAGCGGTACCAATGACAGATCAAATAGGGGGTAGGCAGGGGTAGATGACGGATATTTTTGAGAGAATCTTAATCCGTAGCGACTAACCGCATCGAAACTTGGTCAGTTCAAAACCCATCTGTGCCCAGATATAAGTTTACTTAGTAGCCCCTGCAGTAAGCGCCAGATATCACCGAGAGCATTCAGACTGGGCACTTCGCTCAGCAAAAAATCTGGTACCTTCCGGAAAGCATAATTATACCACCTCACTGATTTGACTAATTGTTCTGTTCCTGCAGTAAATCATTGTTAGTGGGGAAGAAGGGATAAAGTCCAAAAGGTTCAAGTCGTAGAAAAAATGAAAAAGAGGAACAATAAATTAGTCAAGAGCAAAAATCGTTCAGTTTCAACAAGTGGGTCCTGAAATTTCGGCCTATTTATCCAGCAAATGCATCTGGCTAAACGACGAACCTTCAAGAGTTAACCCGCAAAAGAGTTTCTTGAGTTTAGGGGAACTTAAAAGCAGGTCTTCCCCAGTGTCCAATAAGAGTTGTAGATATAGGATAATTGATATTTTCCCATCATGTTAAAGCTCCAAATGAGGATTCCAGATGTCGTTCTACTCGTTTGTTGGGCGAATATAAGAATCCTTGCCAAAGACTCCATTTCACGGCCCTGGTCCTATCGCTTAATTTCATGAACGAAGAGCAAACACCGTCTTTTTACGTTCCGCTCCAGTCAAGCCCTTTATTTCACCGAATTTCCAAATGAATTTCCAAAATCCTATCCCGGAGGGATGGAATGCTTAGTTGGCTCAGACCGATATCGACCTAGGGTTCGAACCCGTGACCATGCGATTGTGATAGTGCACTATTTGCCAATATACCACCTCCGCCCGATTTGTTTTGATTACTCAGTGCAGGAAAACACAATCTGTTACTAGTAAGGTGACCTACTTCTTAGTCGAATATACCTGACATCTTGAGCTCGAGAGATTGAGAATATAGTAACTACCAGTGTAGGATCATTACAACTTCATGAAAGCAGAAGCACCAACCAGTGAGAACTGTTTCGTAGAGTAAGCATTGCTTCGA